GCAGTGAGCTATGATTGTGGCTGTGAATAGCTACTGCACTCCAGTCTGGGTGACAGCCTGTCTCAAAAAAAAAAAAAAAAAAAAAGCCAGATGCAGTGGCTCATGCCTGTAATCGCAGCACTTTGAGAGGCTGAGGTGCGTAGATCACCTGAGGTCAGGACTTTGAGACCAGCCTGGTCAACATGGTGAAACCCCGCCTCTACTAAAAACACAAAAATTAACCAGGTGTGATGGCAGGCACCTGTAATCCCAGCTACTCGGGAGGCTGAGGCAGGAAAATGGCTTGAACCCAGGAGGCGGAGGTTGCAGTGTGCTCACACCATTGCACTACAGCCTGGACGACAGAGCAAGACTCCATCTCAAAAAATAATAATAATAATCCACACGAATAGGTTTTTGACAGAACCTGTTATACCTTCTAAAACCTGCATTTAGACTAGAAAACTGTATTTTTTCTTAAGAGTTTGTTAAATTATAATGAGATTATTGTCTTTATTATGATATTTGTGAAAATCAAATGTTAGTAATAACAAACTAAGCTCTAGCTGGGCATGGTGGCTCATGCCAGTAATCCCAGCACTTTGGGAGGTTGAGGCAGGTGGATTCCTTGAGCCCAAGAGTTTGAGACCAGCCTGGGCAATATGGCAAAACCCCGTCTCTACCAAAAATACAAAAATTAGCCAGTCTCATAACCCGGTCTCAAAATAAATAAATCGACAAAATTTTTTAAAGAATCGTGTGTAAAAGATCCCAATTTTTAAAAATCTAAATGCATAGAAAAATGACTTCAAGTACATAAAACATTTGTTGGAATAATAATGGATAGCTTTTTCTTCTCAGTGCTTTTTAAATTTTTCCAAATTTTCAAAAACAAATATTTAAAAAAATTCAAAATAATCAAAAAAAAAACTACCTGGTGAACCTCAAAGCTCAACAGGATGAAATCAAAGCTATTTCATGCAGTCCTCTAATTGGAAGCTGAGGGGTGCTGTGTGTAGCTCTGTAGGGAACAGGAAAAGGGTATTGGTCTGGTTTGATTATTGTGAAATCAACATGGAGAAAGAAGTTGAAAAAGTCTGCTTAGAAAACAATGTACTCCAGCCTGGACGACAGAGAAAACACTGTCTTAAAAAACAAAAACAAAAAAACAAAAAAGAGAATATATATAATGTTTTGGCCAAGTCCTTTTGAGTATTGGCTCCTAACATTTAAAAGTTTGTTTGCCAATTTACTAATGTATTAATATTTTGTTATGTTGTTTTCTTTTTTCTTGAGATGGAGTCTCTGTCGCCAGGCTGGAGTGCAGGGCGCTATCTCGGCTCACTGCACCTTCTGCCTCCAGGGTTCAAGCGATTCTCCTGCCTCAGCCTCTCCAGTAGCTGGGACTACAGGCGCCCACCACCACGCCTGGCTAATTTTTTTTGTATTTTTAGTGGAGATGGGGTTTCACTACGTGGGCCAGGCTGGTTTTGAACACCAGACCTCGTGATCCACCTGCCTCGGCCTCCTAAAGTGCTGGGATTACAGGTGTAAGCCACCACTCCTGGCCTGTTTCAGGGCTGCCCACACAGCCTCACCCAGGACCCCACCAAGAGCCCACAATGTGTGTGTGTGTGCATGTGTACACACGTTTGGTTATTGTATATACACACATTCTTAGTGTTGATGCATTTCAGCACAATCCTTTTTGGGTTTTTTTTTTTTTTTTTTTTGAGACGGAGTTTCGCTCTTGTTACCCAGGCTGGAGTGCAATGGCCCGATCTCGGCCCACCGCAACCTCCACCTCCTGGGTTCAGGCAATTCTCTTGCCTCAGCCTCCTGAGTAGCTGGGATTACAGACACGCGCCACCATGCCCAGCTAATTTTTTGTAGTTTTAGTAGAGACGGGGTTTCACCATGTTGACCAGGATGGTCTTGATCTCTTGACCTCGTGATCCACCCGCCTCGGCCTCCCAAAGTGCTGGGATTACAGGCTTCAGCCACCGCGCCCGGCCTTTTTGAGTTTTTGTGGGTTTTTTTTGTTGTTGTTATTGTTTTTGTGGTTTTGAGACAGTCTCCCTCTGTTGCCCTGGCGGGAGCACAGTAGTAAGATCTCAGCTCACTGCAACCTCTGCCTCCCGGGTTCAAGAGATTCTTGTGCCTCAGCCTCTGGAGTAGCTGGGATTACCAGCGTGCGTCATCACGCCCAGCTAATTTTTGTATTTTTAGTAGAGACAGGGTTTCGCCATGTTGGCCAGGCTGGTCTGGAGCTCCTGACCTCAAGTGATCTGCCCACCTCGGCCTCCCAAAGTGCTGGGATTACAGGCGTGAGCCACTGAGCCCGGCTCCACAATCCTTTTTGAATGCAATTTAGCAAAGTGAATGAAGAACCATAAAATGTGCATGTACAAAATGGTACAGCCACTGTGGAAAACAGCTTGGTAGTTTCTTATAAAACTGAGATACAACTACCATATGACCCAATGATTGCACTCATGGGCAGTTATCCTAGAGAAATCAAAACTTACGTTCACACAAAAACTCGTACGTGTATTTTCACAGCAGCTTTATTCATAATAACCCCAAACGGAAAACCACCCAGATGTCTTTCAAAGGGTGAATGGTTAAACAAACCATGAATATGCTCCAATAAAAGGGAAGGAACTATTGATACACACACAACTTGGATGATCTCTGGGGAACAATGCCGAGTGAAAAAAGCAATCCTAAGAAGTCACATACTGTACGATTCCATTTATATAACACTTTTCAAATAACAAAATGGTAGGAATCGAGAACAGACTAGTGGTGGGAGGAGGTGGGGGAGGGAGGTGTGGCTATAAAAGGGCAACTAGAGGGATCCTTGTGGTGATGGAAACTTCTTGTATCTTGACTGTAACAATGTCAATATCCTGGTGGCAAGATGTTACTATTGGGGAAAAACAGTGAACAGTACTTGGGATCTCTCTGTATTGTTTCTTACAACTCTACATGAACCTACAATGTTCTCAAAATAAAAAGTTTTATTTAAAAAATGTTTTTAGAGATAGGGTCTTGCTGGAGTGCAAGATAGGTCCCAGGCTGGAGTGCAGGAGCCAGATCATAGCTCACTGCAACCTCGAACTGCTGAGCCTTTCAAGTGATTCTCCCACCGCTGCCTCCCAAAGTACTGGGATTACAAGTGTAAGCCACAATGCCCATCCCAAAAATTTACTTAAAAAAAAAAAATCGGGCCGGGCGCGGTGGCTCAAGCCTGTAATCCCAGCACTTTGGGAGGCCGAGGCGGGTGGATCACGAGGTCAAGAGATCGAGACCATCCTGGTCAATATGGTGAAACCCCGTCTCTACTAAAACTACAAAAAATTAGCTGGGCATGGTGGCGCGTGCCTGTAGTCCCAGCTACTCAGGAGGCTGAGGCAGGAGAATTGCTTGAACCCAGGAGGCGGAGGTTGCGGTGAGCCGAGATTGTGCCATTGCACTCCAGCCTGGGTAACAAGAGCGAAACTCCGTCTCCAAAAAAAAAAAAAATGTATCTTCTTTTGGCCAGTTATCCCAGGTCGGGAAATCTACCCCAGGAATATAATCCAAAAGAAAACAAACAAACAAAAAGCAGTCGAACGTACCAGATATTCACTACAACGTTATTTAAAACAGGAAAAAAAGAAACAATCAGGGAAATACTTAAATCATGATACAGCCACTGGAGAACGACACAGTCTTTGATGCGGCAACAGAGAAATGTTATTTGGAAAAGGAGGCTACAGGCCAGGCGCGGTGGCTGACGCCTGTAATTCCAGCACATTGGGAGGCCAAGGTGGTTGGGATCACTTGAGCTCAGGAGTTCAAGACCAGCCTGGGCAACACAGTGAAACTCCGTCTTTACGAGGTGGGGGGCGAGGGAGGGGGGAAAGGCATGGTGGCATGCACCTGTAGTCCCAGCTACTCCCGAGGCTGAGGTGGGAGCATGGCTTGAGCCGATCGTACCACTGCAATCCGGACAAGAGAGAAACCTCGTCTCCCTCTTCCCCCGCCAAAAAAACACAAAAAAGGATACGAAATTGTGATATAATATAACAACTTTGTGAAGACTACTAGATATGTCACAAAATTTTTAATAGTAGTACTCTACGTGGCATTCTAATAGAAATGATTTCCTTTCCTCAAACTCCCCGTAATATTGTTACATGGTTTTCATATGGCCTGGGGCGTAACATTAAATGACACTTTTTATGTGAAATCACAAAGGTCGGAGTCATTCCAACAGTAGAGCAAACTTGGTATTCCGATTCCTTGCAGGCTTTCACCAAGAGCGCACACGAGGGCCACCGCAGTCGTGAGCTCAAGGCGGTTGTGACTGGGTACAGGTTGGTCCATTGAGGCTGTTCCAAGGCTGCCCCCGCAGCCTCACCCCTGAACCCCACCAGGAGCACAGGGAAGGGGGTCCCCAAAAGTGGGCGAGGCCACTGCCCGCAGGAAGTGTCCACTTCAAGGTCACCATAGAGAACCCGAGGCCGGGCTCGGCGTGGCCCAGGACTCCTCAACTCTGAGTCCAGGTATCGCTCTCTGCGCCGCGCCCCTCGCCCCATCCCGAGCAGCGACCCCAAAGCTCCCAGGGGCTCCGCCGCGGCGATTCCTCACATTGCGGCGTGGCGGCCAAAAGGCCCAGAAGCCTGAATTCGGCGCCTCCACGCCCTCACCCGGAGGCTAAGACCCCCCGAACGCCGCGTCACAGCGTAGCCCAGACCTGTCCCTCATTCTTTTTCGCCCTCTCAACCCAGCTTTTCCCGACTCCGGGAAGAACCGGGAAGAGAAGGCGGAGGAGAGCGAAGCGCCGCCTGATAAATACTGTGGCCCAGTCCCGCCCCCGGAACGTCACTTCCGCCCCGCGCCAACATGGCGGCGCCCAGGCCATGCCACGCAGACTTCCGCCCGGCGCGGAGACCGAAGGCTGGCGGCGGGTCGCGTCTCTGCTGAAGTCGTGAGGCGTGGTGTGGAGCAGCGGCCCAGGTGAGTCCCTGCCTGGTTCTTGGGCGGGGTTCCTAGAGAGACAGCGTGTCGCGAGCCAAAGGCTCTCACCTGGGTGGTCTGGGGAGTCTTGCCACGTGGGAGGGGAGGAGCAGAGACGCCACTGGAGGACGCGCTGACTGGGGGACCGGAAGCCAAGTGGGTGGGGTTCCGCTAGGGTCCGCGTGTCAGTCCCCCCTGGTAAACTCGTTGTCCCTTCTCTTCCAGGCAACATGTCGGAAGGAAACGCCGCCGGCGAGCCCAGCACTCCGGGAGGGCCCCGACCCCTCCTGACCGGGGCCCGGGGGCTCATCGGGCGGCGGCCGGCGCCCCCCCTCACCCCCGGCCGCCTTCCCTCCATCCGTTCCAGGGACCTCACCCTCGGGGGAGTCAAGAAGGTACCCAATGGCGCGTTTCTAAAGAAACTCACCAATCTTGAATTCCAAGCCGCGAGATTCAACTAATGTTCGCGTAGGGCCTACTGTGTGTCTGGAGTATTGTTGGGCCTCACGCCTACCCCTCTTTAAATTCTAGGGAGCCTGACCTACCTTCAAATCTAGGTACTGAGTACAGATGTTGAAATGATTCTCAGAGGTGGTTGAAGGACAGAGAGTCCTAATTAGTTAACGTTGTTCAAAAGCAACTTGAACAGTGTTTATTTACTTTCATTGTGTGTTTGGACATCTATAAGAAACCCATGAAAGCCAGGCAGGCATAAACCTCGCAGTCTTAGAGGGTTCAGAATTCAATATCTCAGTGTGCAGACTTCTTATCTAGAGTATAATGAATCCTAGGCATAGCATTTGAGGCTCTGTGGTCTATCCCATGTGCATATGACTGTGGATGTCAAGATTAACTCTGAAAGGGGTGGGGTCAGGATGGCAGAAGAATAAAGCAGTCAGTTTTTAAAAATCTAACTTTGCGACTAGGCACCATGGCTCACGCCTGTAATCCCAGCACTTTGGAAGGCCGAGGTGAGCGGATTACCTGAGGTCAGGAGTTTGAGGCCAGCCTGGCCAGTAAAACCCCATCTCTACAAAAAATACAAAAATTATCTGGGCATGTCTCTAATAAAAATGCAACAATTAAAAGTGTGGTGGCAGGTGCCTGTAATCCCAGCTACTCAGGAGGCTGAGGCAGGAGAATCGCTTGAACCTGGGAGGCAGAGGTTGGAGTGAGCCTAGATCGTCCTATTGCACTCCAGCCACAGCAACAAGAGTGAAACTCCCTCTCAAAAGAAAAAAAAACCACCTAACTTTGCCTTGGAAAATTGTGACAGTCTATAATCCCCTGATTGAGAGTGTTGGCAGATCTGTGGTCTTCCCTACTTAGGTCTTGCTGCTAGAGCTGTTCCCTCATGATACTCACTGGTCTCTATAGCAGTTTGAAGATAAGAGGTGAGACTAGAGAAATTCCTTTGCTTTTAGAAGTCCCAGAGGTTATTCTTTCAGAGGCAGAACCTAAGGCTGCTGGTTAAAAATGAGTTTTGGTGCCCCTTTGTTTTATGTGTAACTCCACTGCCACCACACCATGACATTCCTTCTTTTCAGTCACTTGTCTGTCTCTGTAAAATGGACAGCACTGTGGAATGTGCCAAAGACAACCATGTTGGCCTTGGTCAGTAGACAATGCCCTTCGGGAATTTTTATTTTCCTCTGTACTTTGGGGTCAGAACCTAACAGATCAGTGACTCCTGTATTTTGCTTTCAGAAAACCTTCACCCCAAATATCATCAGTCGGAAGATCAAGGAAGAGTAAGTATAAGTAGCTAGGCCTTCTGAATACTTACCCCTTATTTACTTTCTCTGAATATGTGGCCTTGGGGGAAGTAACTAGGTTTGTGGCTCTGATATTTAAATTTATGTTTTTACTTCTTTTCACTAGTGATTTTCAATCCTGGCTTCTCGGTGATTCTGATGTGCAAGTTAAAAAAAAAAAATACTGGTGTCTAGGGCTCCATCTCTAGAAATTGTGATTTAATTTGTTGGCAGTAGAATGGAGTGATTCTCTTTGATGGCCAGAGTTGAGAGCCACTAGTTTAAACAAAGATGTATCACACTTTCCCTGAAGTTCCTTTGGATTTCTGCCTTCCTGCTTTCAGTCCCAATGTAAAAAAAAAATCTACATTTTTGGACAAGGTGAAGTAAAGCAAACTGAAAAAATCCTGCCTCATCAAGGAAGTGAGAAAAGTGCTAGGATTGGATTCTGCTTCTCATCGTGTAATTATTGGCTCAGACTCTCCACTGTCTTGGAGTGAGGTGGTATGGGAGATTAAGGCCAGTTTTTGGAGGCACAGTGAGTGAGTGGTTTCCCTTAATCCATTCTCTTTTCCAGGCCCAAGGAAGAAGTAACTGTCAAGAAGGAGAAGCGTGAGAGGGACAGAGACCGACAGCGAGAGGGGCATGGACGAGGACGAGGCCGCCCAGAAGTGATCCAGTCCCACTCCATCTTTGAGCAGGGCCCAGCTGAAATGATGAAGAAAAAAGGTACGAAGAAGGAATCAGTAGTGAGTTTCAGTTCAGACTGCCCAAGAGAAGGGCAAGAGCAGTGGAATTTCCCCGCACCCAGTTCAGTTTTCCATGCTGTTGGCATCTTCCTGATTGATCCCTAGTGACCCGGGTGATTTCCCACAGGAAACTGGGATAAGACAGTGGATGTGTCAGACATGGGACCTTCTCATATCATCAACATCAAAAAAGAGAAGAGAGAGACAGACGAAGAAACGAAACAGATCTTGCGCATGCTGGAGAAGGACGATGTGGGTACCCGGAGGCTCAGGGAAGGGGCTTCCTTGTGGCTGTAGAACAGGGCTTCTGGGGAGCCAGGTGAGGGGCAGAAGAGCTCACTGATGTCCTGGAATCTAGGGGAGCAGCAGGAATCTTTGGTTAGAAAGGGTCCAAAGCAGACTTCGATCCAGGTGCGTGTGCTAGCAGGCTGGATGACCCCAACTCTTTTTGGCAGTTCCTCGATGACCCAGGGCTGAGGAACGACACTCGAAATATGCCTGTGCAGCTGCCGCTGGCTCACTCGGGATGGCTTTTTAAGGAAGAAAATGATGAACCAGATGTTAAACCATGGCTGACTGGCCCTAAGGAAGAGGACATGGAGGTGGACATACCTGCTGTGAAAGGTACTCTGTGTCCATTAACTTCTCATCTCCAATTCCATGGCTACTCCCAGGAATCCCTGGCATCAGGCATCACTTGCTTGGGGCCCTAACTAGTGCTCTTGAGCAGGTCCTCCCTTGCTGGCTGTAAGATACAGGAGCTAAACAAAGATGCTTGATTCTCCCCCACAGAGGGTTCACGTGTTGACGTGGAGCAGTGGGCCCAGCCTCAGATGTCCTTTTTTAGTTAAGTCACATGAGACTTGAACGTGTTGTCTTGTGCCCCTCTCTATAACCAGTCCCTCCTTCCCACTCCCTGGCTGAGTGATAGTGGAGTAAACGGGGGCAAAGGGCTGTTAACAGTGAGCTGGTGTGGAGGGTGGTCCCATGATAGCCTTCCATTTCTATCACCCCGGCAGTGAAAGAGGAGCCTCGAGATGAGGAGGAGGAGGCCAAGATGAAGGCTCCTCCCAAAGCAGCCAGGAAGACCCCGGGCCTCCCGAAGGACATATCCGTGGCAGAGCTGCTCAGGGAGCTGAGCCTGACCAAGGAGGAGGAACTGCTGTTTCTCCAGCTGCCAGACACCCTCCCTGGCCAACCGCCCACCCAGGACATCAAGCCCATTAAGACAGAGGTACAGGGCGAGGATGGCCAGATGGTACTCATCAAGCAGGAGAAGGACCGGGTATGCCCAGGCAGACACCTGCGGGAATAGAGGCAGGGACTGGGAGGGGAAGTGTAGCCTGTAGTGGGAAGCAAAGCCGTGCCACCCTGGCTGAAATTGGACAATAATGGTTGGTTATTCTTGGAGCCTACAAGAGCCATGGGGCTTTGTGCCTCCAACCTCAATTGTGTTTGTATGTGGGGTGGGTGTGTTTAATTTTTATAAGGAAATACTTTAAACACATACAAATGAGAGAACATATGGCCAGGTGTGGTGGCTCATGCCTCTAATCCCAGCACTTTGGGAGGCCGAGAGAGGATCACTTGAGGCCCGGAGATCGAGACTGGCCTGTGCAACATGGTGGAACCCTGTCTCTACCAAAAAATAGATAAAATAATTAGCCAGGCATGGTGGCATATGCCTGTAGTCCCCGCTACTCGGGAGGCTGAGATGGGAGGATGGCTCGAGCCCAGGATGCAGAGGTTGTAGTGAGCCAAGGTCACACCACCGCACCCCAACCTGGGCAGCAGAGCCAGACATTGTCCCCAGAAAAAGAACATAAACTGCTGTGTACCGGAAACTCAGCTTCACCAGTTACTGATATTTTGTCCATTTATATATTTGTTTGCTGTGGCATTGTATTTTAACCATGGCAGACAGCCCTAGGAGAAGGCACTCTTTGGAGAGCTCATTCTGACCTTTGCCATGCCTGTCTCTTGGTGGGTAGAAGGGGGTACATGAAAGATGGAGGAAAGCGCTCCTAGCCCAGTGTCCATCCTCTGACTTTCTCCACAGGAAGCCAGACTGGCAGAGAATGCTTGTACCCTGGCTGACCTGACAGAGGGTCAGGTTGGCAAGCTACTCATCCGCAAGTCTGGAAGGGTGCAACTCCTCCTGGGCAAAGTGACTCTGGACGTGACCATGGGAACCGCCTGCTCCTTCCTGCAGGTAAGAGCCTCCCTAGGGCCAGGGAGGGAGCCTTTAAGGAGTGGAGGAGCGTTGAAGTGCTGGTGATAAATAAGGGGGTTCCTGGGGGTATCACATTCTCATTCACAGCTCTACACGCTGTGCATATGGTTGTGGTTCTCATCACTGTCTCTGTCAATTGGCAGGAGCTGGTGTCCGTGGGCCTTGGAGACAGTAGGACAGGGGAGATGACAGTCCTGGGACACGTGAAGCACAAACTTGTATGTTCCCCTGATTTTGAGTCTCTCTTGGATCACAAACACCGGTAAAATGAGCAGATGGAGGAGGACGGCGCCTGTGCCCACGGCTGCTGCCTGCTCCAGACATTTTGTTCTTGAATCTGTGAGACCCAAAAGGGGCCCACTGAGCCTACCCACTCCAGCCTTTGGCAGCCATTGTCCCAGATTCCCCTGGGCTTCCTCCCACAGCAGCTGTCAATGGCACAGTGACCTTCCTGCAGCATGGAGTTGGCATATCTTTGCTGCTGGGGATTTGGCCCTGCTATTTATTTTTATATTTATGTCTTAATCTCTTCCACTGATGCATCCTACCAAGGTAGGTGGGAAGGGTCTGTGGGAAGGGGCTGGCCTCTCCTGGGGGCTGTTGGGCTGCAGGGACAGAAGTGTGAGAACTGCGGCTTCTGCTGATGCTCCGTCCCTCCTAGAAGCAACATAAGGGAGGAAGCAAGGATTGAGTCTGAGACTTAAGCACTTGGTCCCAGCTCGCCAGTTCCTGGTTCTGCGTCCTTGAACAAACTACCTAACCTTTCTGAGCCTCCTGTTCATCATCCGACACAAGCATGAGCAGGTTCTCCCTTTCTGACTGTAAGATACATGAGCTGGTACGGATGGTGGTCACGTGATAGCCTTCCATTTCTATCACCCAGGCAGTGAAAGAGGAGCCGTGAGATGAGGAGAGGAGGCCACGATGGAGGTTTGGGGGATGATACCTACCTCCCAGGGTTGGCGTGAGGATTCATGGGCTATTAGAGATGAAAACCCCTGCACAAGGCCGGAACCAGTAGGCACTCAACAAATGTTCGTGTCCTTTTTCTCTACCTGAGTCTATATTCCAACAAAGTAGAGATTCCAAGTCTCAAAAGCAGTGACTAGAGCTCCCATCCTTGCTCTTGTTTCTTCCTGCTTCATATCCCTCCCTCACCCTGGGCCTGATGCCCTAAATTTACGAGGTCAGGCTGTTCTATGCCTTTTTCTCCTGGCTCCTCTTAGCCAGGTGCTTCCTGTGTAAGTTGCTGTAATAGCTGTGGGTCATAGGAAGAGATCAGAGACCCCTCCCAGCACCCTGCAAAAGCCTTTGGGGGACATGGTGTGCCAAGGACATGTTCTTGCACTCCTGTCTTTATAGTTATTACTCATGTATGAGCCAAAGTCAAATATTGCTAACAGAAACTAAACCCTTGGTAAGAGAAGTTAGGGGTGTGTTGAACAGTGGCCTCTTTGACACTTGGCTGATGATGCCCACTGCAGAAACTTCAGGATCAGAGGCCTCCCTCTGTGTCCTGTCCTAGCACTGCCAGAGCCATCCACAGTGTTACTTTTTTGGGACTGTGATCTTGTTCCCTTTACCTGGTCATCGTACTGTGTTGTCCCTGGAGGAACAGCTTCTCCTCCTCTGTCTTGACAGTATGGCTGGGGTTTTCCCTCGTTCAGGTGGGGAGACGTTTGCGGGTTAAAGAAAGGCCTCATGCGGTGGTGTGTGTGGCTGTTAGACATTGGTGGCACAGCTTCCCTTTGCTGGCGTCATGGCACATGGCGTCTGGGACAGAATGAACCATAGGGGCTCAGGAAAGACTGCTTCCTGCCCACCCCCATCCCTGATTTCTAGTGGCCCCTAAGATTTTGGGTACATCTTCCTTCAGGCTCACCTTCCTTCTTTTCAAAGCTCCTCAATCCTGTTACTCATTTGTCAAGGCTGGGCTTTTCCTACAAAGCCCTCAACCTGCTGACCACATCGCCCTTTCTGGAGCTGAAGCTAATCTCAACTCCATTGGATAGTGTTGTTCTGGGCTCTTCTCATTGTAGAGGACTGGAGCAGAAAGGGTTCCTTGGAAAGATGTGCTGGGTAGCCCTCTTTGGTCGGCTAACGTTTGATTAGCTCTGGGCTCCAGCCCTTCCTTCCTTTAAATAGCTGATGCACTGCCAACCGGTCGCCATTCTCATCTTCTCTTTCCGTTCTCTTTCTTTGGTTCAGAAATACTCTTTTGCTTTTTTTTGGATGAACTCAATTGCCCAATGTTAGGTATTGGGTATTTTTCAATCTTTAGTTTTCTGACTCTTCCAAGAAAGTTTGAGGAAGAGCATGCACTGTTTTTGCGTTCCTTTCGCCCATTCATATGTCTTGGCTTGAACCTTATGACTCTGCATCAAAGTCCACACGGCCTGTCCCTAGATCCCTGATGCACAAATTAGGTCTCATCAATAAATGTGGGCAAAGGGAGGAGAGTCTGCTTTCTTGGTCGGGCTCCAAGGCGTGCATTTTTACCAAGGAATATGTACAAATGGCAGAGGAGAAAAACCAAAGCCAGATTCATACATGAGTGCAAGTGGATGCAAATTTGCTGCTCTCTGCATCTGTGCATACGCTTTTTGTTAAATAGAGAAAGAAGGGACAATAGGCTTGTGCAGTTTTCTAACTGCATGGTTAAGTGGCAGAGTCTGGGCTGTCGAGTCATGGTTGGGTTTGAATGCAACTCCACCTGTGAACTTTGGGTTGGAAAAAATCCCTTACCCTCTTTAAGCTTGATTTTATTTATTTTATTTAAGAATGAGACAGTAGTGACTTTTCTTTCTTTCTTTTTTGTTTCTTTCTGCCTTCTTTAGAAAGAAGTCACTTTTTTCTAATAGGGTTGCTTTTAAATTAGAGTGAACAGGAGGCATGTATTGGGTGCCAGACAGATAATTGCTTGTAACAGGATGTGATCAGCATGAATAACAGAAAATTAGCCTGACGGTGGCTTAAGCGATGAGAATGTTTATCTCACGTAGCAAGAAGTCTGTAAATAGATGGTTCTAGAGTTGGTGGAAGCCAAAATGTCATCAGGATTTCCTTGGAACCTTTAGCTCTGCCATCCTCAGTGTTGCAGTGTGGCTGCTCCTACGCCAAGCATCATTCTCCAGATGACAGTGCACACAGCCAGAGTGGACAGTGGCACAGGTGCGTTCTCATTCTGCTCTGTCTTTCTCCGGGAAGAACCATCAGCAGCTCCAGCAGCCTCGCCCCCATCTCTTTATAGAGTGGGGCCACATGCTCACTCTTGAACCAGGCACTGGCAAAGGGGGTGAGTGGAATAGTGTATCCCCTGGCACGGAGCACACTCACCCTTGAGCTGGGGTTTTGTTTGTAGGGAAGAAGCTGGAGTGGCAGTTGGATAGACCATTCATAGTAGCTGCTGCCATGTTCAAAAAATACTACAATGTCAAATCATAAAGTGTTCATCTCGGCAGAACTTTTTAAAATGTTCAGTCACCTTTTATTCTATGAAATTCAATTTTAACATTTTAGTGTATATTATTTTAGATTTGGGAGGTACATGTGCATGTTTGTTTTTTGTTTTGTTTTGATTTTGAGATGTAGTCTCATTCTGTCACCCACTCTAGAGTGCAGTGGTGTGATCTTGTCTCAGTGCAACCTCTGCCTCCCAGGTTCAAGTGATCCTCCCACCTCAGCCCACCAAATAGCTGGGATTGCAGGTGCCCACCACCACACCCGGCTAATTTTTGTGTTTTTAATAGAGGCAGGGTTTCACCATGTTGGCCAGGCTGGTCTCAAACTCCTGACCTCAAGTGATCCACCCACCACGGCCTCCCAAAGTGCTAGGGTTACAGGCATGAGCCACCACGTCCGGCCCCATGCACATATTTGTGTATGTTGCTTACTGGTGGGGATCAGGCTTCTGTTGTACCTGTCACCCAAATAGTGAACATTGTACTCAGGTAACTTTTCAGCCGTTGGCCCCCTCCCACTCACCCCGTTTTGGAGTGCCCAGCGTTTGTTATTTCCATCTTTATGTCCATATGTACCCGTTATTTAGCTCCCACTTACAAGTGAGAACATGTGCAATTTGATTTTCTGTTTCTAAGTATACTTAGGATAATAATCTCAAGCTCCATCCATGTTGCTGCAAAGGACATGATTTCATTATTTTTTATGACTCCTCAATGTCTTATTTCAGTCTCCAAAATTTTTTTATGTTATTTATAGTGATATAAATTAATGTGGTTTAAATTATGTGATATAAATTATGCAATGACTCACACCTATGGGGTGAGTCAGCACTTTGGGAGGCTGACGTGGGTGGATCGCCTGAGGTCAGGAGTTTGAGACCAGCTTGGCCAACACGATGAAACCCCATGTCTACTCAAAAGACAAAAAATTAGCCAGGCATGGTGGTACACACCTGTAATCCTAGCTACTTGGGAGGCTGAGGCAGGAGAATTACTTGAACCCAGGAAGCAGAGGTTACAGTGAGCCAAGATCATGCCATTGCACTCCAGTTTGGGCAACAAGAGCAAAACTCCATCTCAAAAAAATAAAAATAAAATAAATATGTGGTTTTATCATGTACTCTATCTCACTCAAAAATATATACAATTCTTTGGTCCTAACTAATCGGGAGGCTGAGGTGGGAGGATCATTTGAGCCCAGGAGTTCAATACCAGTCTGGGTAACATAGTGAGACCTTGTCTTTGAAAAATAAGTAATACAGGCCGGGCGCGGTGGCTCAAGCCTGTAATCCCAGCACTTTGGGAGGCCGAGGCGGGTGGATCACGAGGTCAAGAGATCGAGACCATCCTGGTCAACATGGTGAAACCCCATCTCTACTAAAAATACAAAAAATTAGCTGGGCATGGTGGCGCGTGCCTGTAATCCCAGCTACTCAGGAGGCTGAGGCAGGAGAATTGCCTGAACCCAGGAGGCGGAGGTTGCGGTGAGCCGAGATCGCGCCATTGCACTCCAGCCTGGGTAACAAGAGCGACACTCCGTCTCAAAAAAAAAAAAGAAAAATAAGTAATACATACCCACATCTGGACATACGCAGTTCTTCCATGTTAATGAGTATTTTGTGTTTCACACACTTCTGAATTAGCTGAAGGAATTAAAAGGTATCATCTTTTTTTTTTTTTTTAAGATGGAGTCTCGCTCTGTCACCCAGGCTAGAGTGCAGTGGCCTGATCTCAGCTCAGTGCAATCTCTGCCGCCCGGGTTCAAGCAATTCTTCCACCTCAGCCTCCCAAGTAGCTGGGACCTACAGGCACTAGCCACCACGCCTGGCTAATTTTTGTATTTCTAGTAGAGCTGGGGTTTCACCATGTTGGCCAGGCTGTTCTTGAACTCCAGACCTCGTGATCCGCCTGCCTCAGCCTCCCAAAGTGCTGCGATTATAGGTGTGAGCTACTGCACCCAGCCAAAGGTAGCATCTTTTAATCTTGGACCGCCCCCAACGTGGTCTGATTGAATTGGGCACTCAGCACTAGGTTCTTCGAAGGAAAAGAGGCCTCTTTCCTGGGACAGTGCACAGTGAAAGGGCGGCACCCACGCTGTTCATCCAGTGCTCCAACCAGTCCTGGTGTTGGATACTTCCACGTTTGGGGCATTTCTCCTCTCGAGATGTCTGTGCTAGTGACAGATGATGTGAACACCTCCTCTTGGATTGTGGTTCGGCTGCACAAGGCCCCACCAAAGTTCTACAGCTAAAGCATGGGGCCCAGAGGGGGCCTGGGTCTTAGGGGTGTCATCTGAAAAAATAGAGATGGTGATGGGATGCCACATCTAGGAGCACCTCTGTGTGGCCACCTTCTGCCTCAGCTCTTCTAAAGCATTTCTTCTGTTCCCTTTCATTGGGGTAACCACTGACCTGTCTCCCCAAAAACGGAGTCAGAAGTTGGACTTTGTTATTTGGTTCATCAACATTTAAGACCTAGTCAGAAAAAAAAATGCAGTCTTACATCTTGAGAAAGCTTACATGAAAGAAAAAAAAATGCAGTCTTAAATTTTGAGAAAGCTTACATGAAAGAAAAAGAAAAATGCAGTGTTGATCACTGTTGGCCTGGAGACTGTATCTTACGTATTTTCCAGGGTTCACTGGACAAGTAGAAACCATTCTAGGCATTCTAAGCAGAAAGAGTTAATACAGGAAGATAAGTTTATAGACTCCTTGGAAGGCTGGAGGAGTGAGCCATAGGCTGAGCATCCAGGAATCAAAACCCCATAGAACAGATGGTGAGGGAGCTACATGCTCTGCCATAGTCAGGAATGTGGAGACTCTGGAGTTCGACTGAGTTCCAGAACACAGCACACTGCCACAGCTGCCAGCCAGGCCAGAGGGAATCCCACCGCCTCAGCTGCCTCTGGAGAACCACACAGCTGTAGCTGGACCCTGGCACACGGAAGAAAGTGCCTGCCGTGTGCTAGGCACCGCTGCAGGAGGGCCGTGGTTAAACAAGTCTGTGTTCTGCATGTGCCTGCGCTCTAGTGAGGAGACAGGTTAAGCATATGGAAGGAAGTTAGAAGGTAACAGGAGTTTGGAAACTTGCAGGGAGTGGAGGATTCTGGGTAGTGGCAGGCAGGATGCAGCAAGTGGGTTAGGCTTCCCTGAGAAGGTATCCTTTGAGGAAGTGAGCCAGCGGGATCAGAAGCTGGTAAGGAGAGTACGCTGGGCTGAGCAGAGTGAGAGAGTGGCTGAAAGTGAGGGACAGAGAGGTGGGACCTGGTCCTGGAGGCCTTTTAGGCCACCATAGGGACCTTGGCTTTTTTAAGTGCCCTGGTGAGCTGTCTGTGGTGTGGAGGTGAGGCAGGAAGCGGGGCTGATGGACTCTCTGGGCAGTGGGTGGCAGTGGCTTGGCCAGGCTGCTAACAGCAGAGGTGCTGGGAAGTGATTGGATTCTAGATACTGATTTCAAGGGTAGCACCACCGTGATCCACTGATAGATTCAGTGTGAGGTATGCGAGAGGAGTCAGGCTCACTCCATAGCTCTCGCAGTGGAAAACAGCCAAAGTGAAGAGGATGGCCTCAAATGTACCTCCACCTTTCAAATCTCAACTCATAAGACCTCAGGCATGCCCAGAATGCTAGCAGAAGAGATTTAGGGAAATGTGTGTATTTCGCTTTCTGGCCCCTGCAGTTCAGGTTCCACCTTACAAAGTGGTGAGGGAGTGGAGTGGGTGGGGGATGCCACCCAGCCATATTCACAAGAGTTGGCATAAGGATTCACAGTTGAGTGAAGCTTCCTGAGACTGCTGTGCTGCCAACAAAAGCACACTCAGTACCTACACGAGCCGTATTCAGTGTGGCTCTCAGACCTTTCTCCAGGGCAAGATGATCGCAAGAATTCTTGTAGAAACGTCTCTTACATTGTACAACTCATCTTTAATGGTTATGTTGGTACTCATCTTCATACTATAAAAATCACCCAAGTGATCTCCCATTTCTGGGACATTTAGTTTTTTTCTCGTTTTTCATCATTTAAAAAAAAGATGTGGCCCAGCGTGGTGGTGGCTAACACCTGTGATTCCAGCCCTTTGGGAGGCCAAGGCTGGTGTATCACTTGAGCTCAGGAGTTTGAGACCAGCCTGGGCACTATGGCTCTACAAAAAATAGAAACATTAGCCAGGTGTGGTGGCTTGTGCTGGTATTCCCAGCTACCTGGGGGGCTGAAGCGGGATGGTTGCAGTGAGCTGAGACGAGATTGCACCACTGCATTCCAGCCTGGGTGACAGTAAGAACTTGTCTTTTAAAAAAGATAAACCTGTTAAATTGTTGCCAGTATCCTCAATTGTTTCCTTAGGATTCTCTGTTTAAAATGGTTTTCCTGACCAGCCTGGGCAACAAAGCAAGACCTGGTCTTTAGGGAAAAAAAATTTTTTTTAATTAACTGGGCATGGTGGTATGAACCTACAGTGCCAGCTACTCTGGAGGCTGAGGTGCAAGGATCAGTTGAGCCCAGGAGTTTGCGAAGTCCAATTCTATGAGATTTTTAAAGCTTTTGTTAGATTTTCCCCTCCAGAATGTTTGCATATATTCACCTGTGCATCAGCAGTGCATTTGTAAAGTTAACTGTGTAATTAAGATCCCATTTTAAAACTATACAAATGTTAGGCTGGGCGCAGTGGCTTCTGCCTGTAATCCCACACTTTGGGCTGCCGAGGTGGGTGGATCACTTGAGGCCAGGAGTTTGAGACCAGCGTGGCCAACATGGCGAAACCCCATCTCTACTAAAAATAAAAAATTAGCTGGGCCCGTGGTAGCATGCACCAGTAATCCCAGCTACTCAGGTGACTAAGGCATGAGAATTGCTTGAACCCGGGAGGTGGAGTTTGCAGTGAGCCGAGATCACACTACTACACTCCAGCCTGGGTGACAGTGAGACTCTGTCTCAAAAAAAAAAACAACACACACACACACACTACACTGCTCAGTAGGAGACCTGGCCACACACACACACACACACACACACACACACTCTCTCTCTCTCTCTCTCTCTCTCTCTCTCTCTCTCTCTCTCTCTCCACTGCTCAGTAGGAGACCTGGCCTGTAATTGGCCCTCTGGATGGGTGCCTCTCTTCATTAAAGGGCTGAAATGAGCTAGAACACACAGCTCCCACAGTTGTCATGTGTTCCAAAAGTTAGTTGTGTTTTTCTGTAGTTAACTGTTATAATTTCATAGTTTAACTAAACTTTATACAAACCAATAAAATGTGGGGGCTAAAAGTTTCACTGTTGAAAATATGGCAAATGCATAATTTTTATTAAACATATAAACTGTGAATGCTGAAGAAAGAATTCTTATTTCTACAGAAACTAAGGTCAAGGCTTCGACAAGATTAAAGGTGAGGCTGGGCACGGTCCCTCATGCCTGTAATCTCAGCACTTTGGGAGGCTGAGGCAGGCAGATCACTTGAGGCAGGAGTTCGAGACCAGACTGGCCAACATGGTGAAACCCTGTCTCTACTAAAAATGCAAAAATTAGCCAGGTGTGATGGCGCACACCTGTAATCCCAACTACTTGGGAGACAGAGACAGGAGAATCATGTGAACCCGGGAGGTAGAGTGTGCAGCAAGCCGAGATCACTCCACTGCCCTTTAGCCTGAGCAACAGAGCAAGACTGCCACAAAAAAGTGATAGAGGCTGTTGGTTGTTGAATATCTATCCACTCTTGCCTTCTTCCATATAATGAACCTTGGCTTTTAGGAGGGCACATATCATTCAATACAAAGACAACATTTATGCAGCCTCTTTTGAGGGCAGGGATGACTCTGTCATTACTTTCTGGACAACGGTATGTAATCATAAACATTATGGGGCAGTGCTAAGGTTTGAATGTTTGTGACCTTCCAGAATTCATGTTGAAATTTAGTCCCCAGTGCAATAGTACTAAGAGGTGGGGCCATTAGGAAGTGATCAGACTGTGAGGGCTCCTACCTCGTGGGTGGGATTACTGCCCTCATAAAAGAGCTTGCGGGAATGTTTGTCCCTTTTCCACCTTCCACCATGTGAGGACGCTGCAATAAGGTGTCATGCTGGAAGCAGAGAGGGCGAGCCATCAACAGCCACTGGATCTGCTGGCATCTTCATCGTGGACTTCCTAGGCTCCAGGACTGGGAGAAGTACATTTCTATTTACAAATTACCGTCTGTGGTATTTATAACAGCACCCAGATGGACTAAGACAGGGAGCTCCCAGGAGCTTTCCCTAAAGGAGACATGATGCATGCCTGTTACTTCGCAGGGGTTGGGGAATTATGAACCTTTAAAGATTTATTTTTAGAAACAAACATAAACTACCATTCTCCTTGTCTGTTTACTCTCCCACTCCCCAGAGAGTACTGCTTAACACCTTTTCGTATGTCCTCAAGCCTCCTACACCTCTCCCCAGTTCTCTTTCTCAGCTGAGGACACTGCTTATTGCATTAAGAAAATAGAAGCAGTTGACCCCTTGCGGTGGCTCACATCTGTAATTCCTGCACTTTGGGAGGCCGAGGCAGGTGGATCATCTGAGGTCAGGAGTTCAAGACCAGCCTGGCCAACATGGTGAAACCCCCGTCTCCACTAAATACAAAAATTAGCTGAGTGTGGTGGCGCACACCTGTAGTCTCAGCTACTCAAGAGTCCAAGGCAGGAGA